TCCCAGGACGAGCATCGTCCTCAACAGCCTCACGACCACTTTTAAAGCGTTCATACCACTGGTACACCTGTGTTTTCGATAGAGTATCGTCACCATAACACTTTTGTAACATTTAATTTCATTTTTATAGCAAAATTTAATGAAAGAACGTTGTTCAAGTTTTGAATCCATTGTAAAAATCGCCACGACGTAAAAACTTGATGTAAAGAAATCACTGTCATAAAGGTAAATGAACAGCTGATAAGCAGAAGCTTGGCATGGGTGTCCGTAACAGTGCTGCCAACGTGACACAAACAACAGAATTCTAAACCGATAAGCCCGCGAGGTTTAAATTAAAAATTCCGGTTATTTTTTTATCATGGTAGTATGTTATAGTAGCTTCTCCCATATGTTGCTACGGGTAACCAGCGCGATGCATTCTTATTCGCTGATCTTTGTTAATTAAAATCTCAGTAACTATTGCAAATTTAGCAAAATGGTATCTTACACAACACGAATGACTGATTGTCTACTTATAGTCGAACTTTTTCAGTCAATTTATAGTCGACTTTTGAAAGTTGACTTTAAGTTGACTTTTAGCAGACGACTTAAAGTTGACTTTCAAAAGTCGACTATAAGTTGACTAGAGTCGACTATTTGCCGACAAGTAGATGAATTAAAAGATGATTTAAAAGATAAATTAAAGTCGATTTAAAGGTAACTGTATTTGTAATTGCGCTATCTATTCCATTAATAAGAACTTATCTCTGTGTAGCACAGCAAATGTATTTAAAAACTAAAGGTACGCAAAAATTGTAAGTTAATATTAAAGATTATTATTTAAACAGATTGATAATTCTATGTAATTCATGATATTGTAACTTAGTTTTTTGGAAATAATTTTTAATTTATTAAAACACATTTGTGCTCTTTTAAATAACTACAATTTATTATTATAAGACGTCCCGGCTAACTAAAATTGACAAATCAAATAACAGTGTATTATTTATAGTAATTTAAGTTTCTAAGCTATTGTTACGTCCTGGCCCACGGTTACGGTCGGGCTATGGTGGAGTAACAGAGAGCTGTCGTTTCTCTTTATCTCCGCACAGCAGGTTGGTGATCCCGCTGCGGCAGAGTCAAGCGAGTTTGTGTGCTCTCACGGATAGGTCAACGGCGTATGCCGATCTTACTCTATCCTATAAGACCCCGCTCGTCGGTCTCTTTTTGAGTCTAGAGATTTAACTCTACGAACTAAGGACGAGACCGTGCGATCAATTGAGGATGTGGAATGATGAGAGGTCGTCTTAATTAAAAGGAAAAGATTATAATACGTGCAATATTAATTTATTCATTTAAGGGTGTTTACTGTTACAATTTTTAGGTGTGGTGTCGTGTGGATGAATGTGATGTCGCGAATTTTACAATGAAGCGGAGGGTTATCGCTCGGAGGCTAGAGAGGGGGAATATATATATATGTATGTATGCGTGTCGCGAGAGTGTGTGTGAGGGGCCTCCGGCGGGGTTTTACAGATGTAAGTGTGTCGGGTGCTTGTTTAAGGCGCCGATTTGTGGTATAGAAATCATTCTAGATCTATTTCTATAATCTCATGGATTGTTGCGGAACTTGGGTAGAATATAGAGTAAAAATAGTGGACGGGGACTAAGCGGATGTCATCTAGGTATGGAAATTTGACAGAGAGAAGTTTTTTGGATGGAGTGGATATCAAGCGGAAGATGTCGAAAAGATCTGTTGTTAAAGGGTCAATTACAAAGGGGATTCTTTCAGGATTTGCTTTTCTGTAAGTGGAGGCTAGTCGGAGGAAGTGTTGGAATTTAGGATCGAGCGGTGGGGTGGTTGATCGTGAGGAAGCGGAAGATTCATCATCCGCGAGTTCTTGCCTGGATGTAGAAGGTAGAAGGGAAGGAGAGCGAGGAGGAGGTGGAGGAGTCGGCACGGATTGCAGATCCGCGGGATTTTCTGCGGGACAGGCGGGTTCGGAGCGCGTTGGAGAGGGGAAGCGAGGAGGTGAAGGCGGCGGATTGTTCGCGGGCGAAACAGGGGAGGATTGAGCGTCTGCAGGAAGATCGGGGGTTACAGGCGAATAGGAGGGAGCTTCATACCACGAATCGTCGTGTGTATGTGTGTCTGTGTGTGTTTCTACGTGTGCGTGATCGTGGGAATGTATGTTAGTGTGTGTGTGTTGCGGATGCGTCGGTGAATGTGAGTGCGCGTGCAATAGATTCGTGTGCGTATCGGTGGGGTTTCTTATTTCATTGTCCTTGTTGCAATTGTTTCTTAATGTCTGAGGAGGGGTGACGGTGGTGGGCCTGGTCGGCTCCGCTTCGTTTTGCGCGAGCGCTGCCGCTCGTCGCAACTTTTGATTTTGTCGGTATCGCCAGTTCCGGCGGTTAGAACGTGAACGGCGGGGTTCCACTTAAACGGGAGGTTCTTTTAGCAAATTATTATTTATAGCGGAAGTGTGAATAAGGTTAATATTCGGAACTGATTTCTCATTCTGCCGACATTATACTTGATCAAAGAAGAGTGATCTAAAAGGGGGGCTAACTCTCTCTCTCTCTCTCTCTCTCTCTCTCTCTCTCTCTCTCTCTCTCTCTCTC